AAAGTTTTATAAATCTGTCCTTGAAGAATTACAAGTCTCGTTGACTGCATCAGCACAACCATCCCAAAACTTGGGGTCAGACTGCAAAACCAGCATCATCTCAAAGCAAGCAAATATACTGCATGAGAGCAGCATCTGTCTGCTCCTTTCTTCCAGAAGACTCTTTTGGAATGTTTCCTTCTCGGAAGAGGCTTTTCCCAGATCTCCCTTCGGTCGTCTGCCTTTCCGGTTTACCCAGCGTGATTTAGCGAGAGGATGGGAATGTTATTTTATAACGGTGCGCGTAGAAAAAATACCCGTCAGAAACTGGGTCAAGAACGTCGCCCAGTTGTGGCTAGTTGTGTCTGGTTAGAGGTACGCCCGAGGAGCACTAGTGACGAGTTTCCGGGTTGGGTGATCATCAGAGATAATTCACATGTGAAGAATACATTGTTGAGTTTAAATCAAGGAAATTTCACTAAATTTTGTGTGGCTGTTTCCTTCACCCTCGTCGATCTTAAGTTCCTTGTTCAGTAGAGTTTTATCTTAACACTGTAGCCGCTAAGACCTACACTTGCAAAGGTAAACAAAACTTATGAATAGTATCGTCACTATAGTGCCCTTGTCATAGTACTACTGGTTAGAAAGATCCCCAAGATGAAATTTCTATTGTCTTGTACCTCTAATAATACCAGTTGGAGGTACAGCTGGCATATTTAGTCGACATTGCCCAATTTTTACTACAGTTTGCAGCACATTTGACTTTTCTGCACTCCAAATTAGTCTTACACTCCTTGGAATCACTTTTTACAAGGGTAAATTTACATTTTCGTTTTTAGTAAGGTTTTTCCCATAAGAACAAAATTCTTTTGCCTAGAACCAGTTAATGAGGTATTCTTCTGAGAAGAAACACTGCTCTCCTCCCAAGATGATATCCATTTAAGCAGAATCTTATTTTTTGTGCGAACTAATATCAGTAGAATTACTGCTCTTCCCTAAAGACACAATATTTGTCTAGTAAGAAGGTCACTTTCTGAGTCTTCCTGCAAGAGTTTTTGTCCTTCACCCAAGAATGATATTCATTTTTAAATTGATCGTTCTTCACAAGAGATTGACTTTGCTTGTGTGAAGAATCACATTGCAGATTAAGTCTTTGTGCTCTTCTGAGGTCTGAATGTTCTATAGAGAAGAATCTTATGCCTTTAATGGGTTTTGTTTAGTTATTGAAAGGATTGATTTTCCTCTAACACAGTAAATTACACTGCATAGAATCTCATTTTATTTGGTATTATTTTTAACATACAATCAACATAACATAAAATGAACTCACATATTTATAATGTATGCATCAAGTTATCAATGAACAACTAGATCAACATTCACTGTATCAAAAACATTTACTTTTTATCATCTCATTTTTTGCATCTTATAATATATCACTTTTAAATCGTACCCCATTCATTTTATCCATTTTTCAACATACAATTGACATAAAATATAATTAACTTAGATATTCACAACAACATGATGTATACATCAAATTATCAATGAACAGCTATATCAACATTCACTGTATTATTGACAACTTTCAATTTTTATTAGCATATATCATTCTTTGTATATTAGTTACATACATCATTCCCTGATCATACCCCATACCATTCATTGACTTTTACAATCTGCAACAAGGCAGGTTTTGTGCATCAATGAATTAATTGCATGCCAATCACAACCCTTAATCCTTTCCTATGAATTAACCCTTCTCTTGCTGAGCAGTCCAGTACTTCTTTGTTTACAAACATGATTGAAAGGGGAAGGAGAATGCTCAATTTTGAATCATACAAAAACAGCTCAATTTTGTTGCAAATTGAAGCCTCCAAGTAAATAATTTGACCCCATTCAGTTGTAATTTATCCTAACCTCAAGCTATCATTAACATTGTTATATTTTATGCAAATTTCAAGAAGATAAATTTTAAACTGCTGTATTTATTTGGCTATAAGCTGAGACTCCCTCTAGAGCCCAATTTTATTTCACTTCAGTTTTAATTTGTGTAAAAATTGCTTGGCTTATAGTCAAATAAATAGGGTAGTAACCAGTTTTAGATGAAATTCACTTTAGACTTGAATGTATCAACCAGAGTTACTAACTTTGTCATGTAATACTCTGCATAAGTATAAGTGGAATTTCTTAGAAAGGAACGGTCTCTATTTTAATGATATTTATGTTTGATCAGAAGCATTGTTGGTAAGGCCAACCATTGTCTGAAATACGAAAATCAAGTCATCTTGAACATGACTTTAATTCACCCAATTAACCTTTTCCTTTGGTATCTTCAATGATATCTAACAGTATGTATGACTGTATGAAAACTTTAAGGCAAGTTATTCTTGAAAATGTAAAATAGTCATCTGCCATATACATAGAATTTATACAATTAAAAAAATGAGATTAACCTAATCAAACCTTTCTAATTTGAACGCCACCTGAAACCCTTTTCATATTGCCTAACAATGCTTGCTTTTTTCTTAGCTGATTCCCATCAAGAGTGGTAATTGATGCTCATAGCTTGTGTGCTGTGCCATGTTGTATAAGATCAAAGTGGAATGCCAAAAAGAAAAAATGCAAAGTAGATTGTTGTAAAAATTGGGAAAAGTTGATTTAATATCCAAGGTGTACATTAAGTATTTTCTAAGCCTTCTAAGATCCTACCAACTAGAGGTTTAGGACTTAATAAGAAATAACAAAATGTAAATGTGTTCATGAGAAAAGTGGTTCCAAGGAGTGCAAGACTAATTTGGAGTCCAGAAAAAGTAAATGTGGATCAAACTGCAGTAAAAATTGGGCAAAGTTGACTAAATATGCAAGCAGTATCTTTAGCTTGTAGTCTTTTCTAAGCCTTCTGAGATCCTACCAGCTAGAGGCACAAGATCAAATAAAAAAAACAAATGTATTCTTAAAAAAAGATTGTTCCAAGGAGTGTAAGACTACAAGCCTCTTAAGATCCTACCAGCTAGAGGTACAAGATCAAAGGAAAAAAAAATACATGGAAATGTATTCTTGAAATAAGTGATTCCAATGAGTGTAAGACAAATTGAAGGACATAAAAGTGAAATGTGAAGCTAACTGTATTAAAAATTGGGCGAAGTCGACTAGTATGTAAGCTGTACCTGTGGCCAGTGGTATTTCCTAAGCCTCCTCAGATCCTACTAGCCATATAGAGGTTCGAGATCAAATTAAAAAAATGAAATAAATTCTTAAAGTAAAATGATTTCAAGGAGTGCAAGACTACAATTTGGAGTGCAGGAAAGTAAATTGTGGAGCAGACGGTAATGAAAATTGGGCAAAGTCGGCTAAATATGCAAGCTGTATCTCTAGACGATAGTATTTTCTAAGCCTCAAGATCCTACCAGCTAGGGGTACAAGGCCAAATAAAAAAATAAATGGAAACATATTCTTGAAAAAAGTGACTCAAAGGAGTGTAAGGCTAGTTTGGAGTGCAGAAAAAAATTAAATGTGAAGCAAACTGTACAAAGGCGTAGTAACAATTGGGCAAAGTTGACTAAATATTCAAGCTGTACTTCTAGCAGGTAGTATTTTTTAAAGCCTCCTGAGATCCTACCGGCTAAAGGACAAGACAATAGAAATCTCATCTTGGAGATCTTTCTAACCAGTAGCACTATGATAAGGGCATTATAGTGGCGATACCATTCATAAGTTTTGTTTACCTTTGCAAGCGTAGGTCTTAGCTGCTACAGTGTTAAGCTAAATTCCGCTGAACAAGAAACTTGAGATCGTCGAGGGCGAAACAGCCACAAAAAAATTAGCGAAATTTCCTTGATTTAAACTCAACAATGTATTCTTCACATGAAAAGCATGTTATAATGTTCATGTCTAGTTCAATCACGTCGCTTGACTGTTGGTAAATCGTAAATGGTGTTACTGGAATAGTCCTCCCTATTGGAATAGCCGACCCGTCAACATCCGGCGTTCCGGCAATCAACTCGTCACTAGTGCTCCTCGGCCTAAACGAATGATTGACAGAAAAGGAAAAAGAAAACTGCGTTGAGTCGCACATAGAAATCGGCGTCAAGTGCTATGGATGTTACAGTTGTTCTTGGGTATTTAATCCACGAATTTTTAAGGATCAACTCTGAATTTTCGGCTTTAAAGACCACTCTAAGGACAACGAAACTACCTTCTTCAAGAGTTTTGCGCCTGTAACAAGCGCAAACAGAGGATAGTTATAACCAAGGAAAGTAAGTTATTAGTCTGAATCCACATGGGCGATTATTTTAATTTAGTCTCAAATCTACTGATTCATCTACCAAATTTTGAACCCCACAAAATAATTTCTTTCTATGATTTCTGTCGCTCTCGTTTCGTGCTACTAGATTTCAGCACTACTCGTTTTCTTCGTAATTTTTGTAAAATTATTTGGAAGTAATTTTTCCCGTGAGACAGAGAAACACGAACAAGATTTTCAAATATATTAGATGAGTAGCACAATCACCGTACCCATTTTAGGGTGGTGGGCAAACTATCCCTGTTTTGTTTAGTCATACGTCTTCATTAAAATGACTAGATGATAAAAATGGGTAAATTTGGTTGTAACGCGTAACGCAATCTTCGCAGTAAAAACTTTCAAAAACATTTTCCTTAAAAAAGGCAGCTCGTAGGGACAAACGAATTACACTTAATGATAACACAATGTACACTACAACTAAGAAAAATTTTAATATTTCGAGTTTTTTAAAATACATTCAAAGGATTCATGATTCTTGAATATCCTTTTTGTAACGCTGGCTTGTAATTTAATTTATGCACAGTTATGCATTGCCTCACAAGATTTTGAGTAAGGAAAACAAGTTCATTAAGAAACGTAACATAAAAGAACGCAGACGAGAATACGTGTACCTTTCTGCACGAGTGTTATTGACACTTTTTATTCTGCTCGTTATTTCAGTACGCGTTCAGCTTACACAAAGTTCACAGGGAGTGTGCCATTGCGATCGGACAGAATGTCAGTGAGCAACAGGGATTCAAACGATTGGACCCAGCGTCCTATTACCAGAAATAGCAGCTCATCCTCACTTTTTAGCCTCCCCCGTTCACCAGTCTTAGAAAGAAGCGGGTTGATGATAGAGTATGCACAGACAGAACAGAGAGAAATGAGAGAAAGAGAAGAGACAGGAAATAGAGAGGGAATGGAAAGAGAATTGAAAAAGCGAAGAGAAAGGGAAACAAGAATGAGAGAAGACAGAACCGCAGAGGAGAGCCTTCCACTTCAGGAGACTCCGCCCTGGCAGTGTGAGCACTACCAGAGACGTTGTACTGTCAAGTTTCCATGTTGCGGAGTGTTTTATCCGTGCGAACGCTGTCACAATTTATCGGGGACATGCCCTGCTAATGATAAGAAGGCACGTCATGCGACGCATGTCAAGTGCGGAAATTGTGGACGCGAAGAAGAGGTTAGTATCTTTTGCATTCTTGGAATCTTGTCGTAATGAAGTAGCTTAGAGAAACAAAGTCATAAAAAACCCGATTTTATCCCAAAATACCTGACGTTAAGATCCCATGGGAGTGAGTTACATCTAACTTCAGATTAATCAGAAAACCAAGAGCAATAGAAAGCCTTCGGCTTGAGCGACGTTGAAAACGAATTTCTTGTAAGCACGAAGGCCAATCAGCGCGGGAAAATAATTTTGGCCAGGTCTCCACTGGTTTTGGTTTGGCATCTGATTGGGTGAGAAGTTGGTGCGAGGCTTTTAGCTTGATCCTACACTTCTATTACGGGAAATCAATGTCATATGCTGGGTTATTATCGTCACTTAGTTGAAACAAGAGAACTTGGCTCCAATAGGCAACTGTTTAAATCATGCCTCTATATAAATTGCTCTAGGTATTGCTTGTGACGCAATGTGTAGCTAAACTGATAGAGGGATAAACAAATTCTTTGCATCATTCTGACATTAAAAATCACTTTTTAACGTAACACCCTCTGACTGATGATATTCTAATCTAATTCAGATAAACAAAGAAAGTCAAACCTGCAAACGCTGTGGCGTAAAATTGTCAGAATATTTCTGCCCAAAGTGTCAGCATTTTATAGGTGTTGACAAGAACCCTTTCCACTGTGAGAAGTGTAAAATCTGCCGGTAAGTTTTTTTCAATTGAATTATACTTAACAAATAGATTCCAAGTTGCCATGCGTCTGTTCAGTAATAGATCACAGAGGACGTCAAAATGTGGTAAGAACAAAAAAGTGGCACACGAGGCGCAGCCGAGTGTGTCACTGATGTTCTGACCACATTTTGACGTCCTCTGTGATCTATTACTGAACGCACGGCAACTTGGAATCTATTTGTTTTATATGATAAAGAATTAAAAAAAAAGTTTAATGATGACGTCATCTATACGTCTGTTCTCCAATAGAACATAAGTAAGAACCAACCAGAATGCGTGCAGAACTGAGCTTATTATATAAAACGACTTAGTGACACGTTCATTATCCCGTATGCTATACATTCAAAACATCCAGTTACATGCAGAGTCAAAATCCTTTTTAGAACGTATTGTTTTCTTTAAACCTAAAAGAGATAGTTTTAAGGGAATACAACAAAGGCTGTTATAAGTACTGTTAACTCGTGCGCTCCAAACGTTTCTTTAAGTGCTATTGAATATTTCTCCAGGCGAAGAAAATCTCGGTTCGTGAAACTGAGGCCACTGTGCCTGGCCAACAAAATCTATCCCGAGTGCTATTGAGAGCGAAGTAATGCAAAGTATTGCATTGCGCAACAACATTTTAAACAATTTCCAAAAGGTCATAAAGAGACGTAACATAGATTGAAAGAAGAAAACGATAGAATGGTTTTTGCTTTGGGAGAAACATCCGCCGGCTTAGAATAACGTTAGTGACGTGATGGCCCTATCATTTCATTTAATCAAACTGTTGTTTCAGCTTAAACAAGGACACATCCTTTCACTGCGACGTGTGCAATGTTTGCATGGGGAAGCAAATGGAGGGAAAACACAAATGTCGGCTGAACTCAGGACAACTTGACAATTGTTGCATCTGCTTTGAGGTAATTATATATAGATCATATTCCACACTTTTAAATTGCTCCAAACACAGGTGGGAATTTATGCTTTGTAGCAAAGATCTTAAAAGACATCTGAAGCCCTAGGAGACAGCTCTTAATAATGAAAATGTCTGGGTACGAGTGTTACTGACACGTTAAATTCTGCATGCTATTTCAGGAGGTGTTCACCGGTGGCCAAATCATGCCATGCTCACATAAGGTTCATAAAGAGTGTGGCTCTAGAATGATGTTTTATGCAAAGATACAGAATCGCGTGTAAGTATGTTTAGATAGTCCAAAGTAACTGTTCATAACGTTTTAAAGGATATTAATAAACGAGAGTATAACTTAAGTAATGGTGGTGGTGCTGTCATCATGAAACCGTTTCCGCAGTTGTCAGTTGATGTATCAAGACTTCTCTTACTTGATGCAATGAACACGCCATTATGCTGTAGTGATGTAAACATAAAACCCGGATATTCTGTGGGTGTAACAAGTAGTGCTGTGTTACGCAATGAGGTACAGTATCAAACGGCAGTTTGTTCGTCAATGTCGAAAGAAATCCAGGATAACTTTGGTTTGGCAGGAAACTCGAGCCAGCTTCTCAAAAAATCAAGTACAAAACTAAAAGCAATTTCGGCTTGGTCATTCACGTTTTCGCGCACTTTCCTGACTTTGAATTCTTATTGGTTATGAGTAATTCTAAACGAGTGTCACAAGTAACCGGGATTACGTTGGCTTTCCATCACTTCGCTCTGTGATTGGTCCAGAAAACTACATCTCGACCAATCAGATACAAAACTAACCCTATCTGCGACATAATCACTCCTTTTCTTCCCGCCTTTAGAGGAGTGTACTTTGAGAGCTCTGTATCTTACAGTTTCTTTTTCTTTTGCTTTTAGTCTTACTTGCCCGATGTGCCGCCACCCTGTGGAAGGTCACGAAACAGAAGATCCAAGCCAAGATGGTTAATACAAGCTAGAATTCCCACTACAAAGTGCTAAAAAAAAATCAAGAGGCCACGTTAGAAATATAACTTAACGTGGTTGGAAACAAAAAAAAAGTTATAAAAGCGAAATTATTTCAAACTAATTATTATGGGTCTTTTTAATACGCTACTTGAAATGTATGGAAACATTCTCAGTTTTTTAGGTCACTGTTTCTTTCACTTAAATCCAGTTTAACGACACGTTTTTATGGTGTGGATGGGATATACCTACTAACCTGCCCAAAGAGGTTGAAGAACAGCTTCTTTTGTAACAAATAGGTTTGCTATAACGTTCTCCAGACGCGAAGGTCAAACTCACATAGATACCGGCATGGATTGGGGCTAGGCGGGGGATTAGTTTCTACAGAGGGCTTGATTTAAATTTTTTTCAAGTGGTTTGTTTTGTTCATGAACAAACAATATTACGTTATTTTAAGATAGTAGTAGTATCCTACAAAATAAATATTGAAAAATACGTTCGTCCTGATTATTGCTCTGACTGCAATAGGTTATTTCTAAACTCAACCCTTTAACCCTTTAGAGTGACTAGCATCTAATTTCTCCTTACAAGATCACCCCTGAATCATGCAGTAAGGTCTTGAGAATAAAGAAAATTATCAGCAGCAAAAGCTGTTGATTGTTACACAAATTCTCCTTGTCGGTACCTTAAAAAATGTATGGGGAACAGTATGGAAAAGACCTTTAGTGATGTTAGGGTGTAAAGGGTTAATGTTTAGCTACGGTTCAATGTTATTGCAATTTCAAATTAAAAGATAAAAATGCCTAAAAACTGATCTTTTATTGTTCTCAGTATTTTGTTATGTCAAAGTGTCCTCACATCTCAAGTATTCCCCAAAATCAGCTTGATGGAAACACATGATATCTGTAGGATTTGCTTGGCGACAATCTTGTGTTGAACGAGACGTGGCACCAAAAACCTAAAATAAAAAAAATTAGGAAGTGCAGCTAGTTCAAGAGATTTCCCCATTCTTTGAGAGGGAAGTACTCAATAAACAAAATTTTTAATGTATTTGAAGTTTTGATTAAATCGTTTTTGCCACACTGAATGCGTTCTCTATTGCTAATCCTACGTTTAAGACAAGTGCCACACCATATGAGCCTTGTAGATGGTCCAGCACACTTGTATCCCTGGACAAAAATGATGGAAACTTTAAATTTTTGCATTGTGGTACTCCTTGGGGTCCTAGTACAAGACAAAGAATAGCACTGGTAGCTTTCAGACCTTTTATGGAGAAATTATTCTACAAATATGCTCTACCACATAAATGCCCTATCATGTTTGATGCACCTCTGGTGGGTGAAATTAGAAGCCACACCCATACAATTGAATTTAAAGGTTTTTATTATAAATTCCAACAATCACTGACCTCATTTCTTTATGAATTCCATAATTCCCTTCCCCCACCACATGGGCTTATATTCAAGGGAAGACCATCTAATCACAAAATATCATGGGTAAGGATTTCCATATTTCTTATCCTCACATCACAAGTCACTAACCCTTTACACCCTAACATCATTATGCATACTCTCCATACTGTTCTCTATATATTTTCTAGGTTCTAACAAGGAGAATTTGTAAAACCATCAAGAGCTGTCTTAGTTGCTGATCATTTCCTTTATTCTTGTGAATTGATTCAAGGAATAAATTGTAAAGAGGAATTAGAACCTTCTCACTCTTTAAAGGGTTAACTGTGCTATATTTTCACATGTTTGGAGAAATTCCATCCCATTTTGATACATGGATACAAAATCTCCCTTCAAGATGACAGTTTTTTTCACTCACTAGTGGTAGGTCATTCATAGAGTATACAATAACTCCTTGGTACTGTGGTGTGTTTTCTGTTATCCTCCCAAAGCCAGACTTCAAAATGTGATTCCCATGGAGAAAAGACTGCTCTCCTGCTGGCTTCACCCATATTTCAGACTGAAAATGAAGAACATAGATGAAACACTGTAGCTCAAAACATTCCAATGTATAAAAACTATATTCACTATAAATACAGGGGAACCCAGTCTTATGGCCACCTTGGTAATACCGTCACCTCATTGTTATGGCCTCTATTTTATGGCTGAGAAAATAGCCATAGATTTTTGTATAAAAAAACACATGTTAATGTGGTCACCTATGGCCACATTTACAGTCCCAAACAGTACAATCCTTTATAATTTCATCCCACTAAATTAAGAAAACAAAAATTATGAAAACAAAAATGCTTGAAACATGTCAATTTCATTGATCTTTGTCATTTACTGATCAAACGGCCAATTTATTTTACAAAGTAAGTAACACTCCTCCCTGTTTTCATTACAAACACGATGAAAGGAAATAAATTTTGACCCTTGCAATTATGAAGTTTGATCCTGCCCCAGTAAAACACCCATAAATGGAAATGTATTCTTGAAAAAAGTGATTCCAAGGAGTGTGAGACAAATTTGAAGTACAGAAAAGTGAAATGTGAAGCTAACCGTATTAAAAATTGGGCAAAGTTGACTAGTATGTCAGCAGTACCTCTGGCCAGTAGTATTTCCTAAGCCTCCAAAGATCTTACCAGCTAGAGGTTCAAGATCAAATAAAAAAAATGAAATGAATTCTTAAAATAAAATGATTCCAAGGTGTAAGACTACAATTTGGAGTACAGGAAAGGAAATTGTGGAGCAAATGGTTGCAAAAATTGGGCAAAGTTGACTAAATATGCAAGCTTTATCTCTAGCCAATAGTATTTTCTAAGCCTCATAAGATCCTACCGGCTAGGGATACAAGACCAAATAAAAAATAAATGGAAACATATTCATGAAAAAGTGAATCAAAGGAGTGTAAGGCTAATTTGTAGTATAGAAAAAGTTAAACGTGAGGCAAACCGTACAAAGGTGTAGTAACTATTTGGCAAAGTTGACTTAATATGCAAGCTGTACCTCTCGCCAAGCTAGCCAATAGTATTTTTTAAAGCCTCCTGAGATCCTACTGGCTAGAGGTACAAGACAATAGAAATTTCATCTTGGGGATCTTTCTAACCAGTAGCACTATGACAAGGGCATTATAGTGGCAATACCATTCATAAGTTTTGTTTACCCTTGCAAGCACAGGTCTTAGCAGCTACAGTGTTAAGCTAAAACTCTGCTGAACAAGAAACTTAAGATCGTCGAGGGTGAAGGAAGCAGCCATACAAAATTTAGCAAAATTTCCTTGATTTAGACTCAACAATGTATTCTTCACATGTAAAGCATGTTATAATGTTCATGTCTGGTTCAATCACATCACTTGACTATAGGTAAATCGTAAATAGAGTTACCAGAATAGTCCACCATATTGGAATAGCCGACAATTTCCAGCTTTCCAAGCAGAGGGGCATTTTGTTGTGCATGTTCTGTAAGTTTTAGTTTGATGCGAGAAACTGCTGGTATGTGCCTGCATCAGTTTTCCGCTCAAGAATTGCAAAAGAAAAGAAGCAGGAAAATATGTTAGAAAACAACAATGGATTGAGTATTTGAGACAACTTTTCTTGTCATTTTTCCTCCTGTAACTTAGATGGATGCGGCAAAAATTTAAACATTAAAAATTGTTGCATGGTGTGTGGAAGGAGGATATTTTGAAAAGCAAAAGATTGTACAAACAACTTCAAGTCTTGTCTTGTAATTGTTTGGGCGTTCTGGATGTAGATGTTAGTTGTGAAGGATGCAAGAGGCCTGTCGAAGAGCAGAGAAATGAGACTTAAGTCAAAAGGGGACTTTGACATTGCATTTTCTGAGGTAATGGGCATTAAAGAAATTTATAGTTTTCAAGCCAGGGGTTTGGCTGTGCCAATTTTAAAGCAGACAAATCATATAATTATCAGTCACTTAAGACATTTTATAGCTCTAACTGGAAGCTCAGCACTCTTAAGGAACATGACAACATTACACCTGATCGCTCCTTATATTCTTTTCCAATAAAATTTGGACAAAACTTTCAAAAATTTGATTGGTAATTTTACAGTTGTGAATAAGTTTAGACACAAGTTGCATATAGCATGGATGAGGCAAGTTGCAAGGAATGAACAAAAGATTGATCATTTATACCATTAGTAAGCTTCTGGTACTAATTACATTCCCTTGAATACCAGCTAGGCTCAGTAAATGTCACACCTATCCATTCTGTCAATAGTACCAACTTTATGTAGTGGGGTCACATCTCCCTTGACAGCAGAGAACATAAAAGTTAATTCCTATCATCAGTCTCAAGTAAGAAAAAGAAATCGAAGGATCACAACATTTCTGGCAAAGTGAAATACAAGTCAAACTGGTTTGAAGACATTTTAATGTGAAATTCGTTTTTAAATATGACAGAAATACTGTAGTAAACATTCTAAAGAAACAAGGAGTTCCAGCCCCTTGAGTAATTATCCATCTGTTGTATCACTCGTCTCATATTTTAAGAACCACAGAGAGTTTGATAATTTTAACCTGCAAGTTTCACGGTACACTTCGACTCAAAATTCATTTCTTATAGCAGAGGTATCCTACTGAAATAAATAGGACAGAATGAAGCTGACGCCATTCGTTTCGAATAGCACATGAACATCATGAAAACGGCACCAGTTTAAACTCATGAGACATAACCCACTCATTTTTTTGAGGTAAATGAACTGGTTAGGCCGAAAGCTAAGTAAATAACCAACGAACTGACAGTGGTGAGGGATTTGGGGGCCCATGTGATAAATAAGTTCTACCGAAGTTTATCCTCTAGTCAGCACTTCAAGCTCAGAAAGGCAATTAGAGAAATTCTCACCAAAACACAGCAACAAAATAGGATAAAACCGGAGATGATTGAGACAAGACTATAACCGTTTTTAAGACACATACCTACATACCATGTGCAACAGACTTGGAGAGCAAAAAGGCCAAAGACACTTGTAAGCCATGACTTGGAAAATCCATCTCAACCTCCCAAAAACGAATTCGCCAAAGGTCGTAGTAAGAGCGACTCAATCCTGAAGCTGGAACATT